CCCTCTGAAAATCTGTGGCCTGTTCCTACACCCGTTTCCTTGGGCGCGTCCATGGTCTCCCAGTCCTCCGGACTCCAAGCTGTCCTGCGACTAGAGGCTGGGGGCAGGGAGGCGGGAATGGGGGACTCGATGTTCAATGGGTCCCGAGTTTCAGTCCAGCATGATGAGAAAGCTCCGGAGATGGATGGCGGCGATGGTTGCACAACTATATATGAACGTACTTAATGTCACTGCGCTGTAAATGTAAAAATGGTCGCAATGGTAAATTTTATGTAATATGCATTTCACCACAATAAAAACAACAGAGCCAAACAAAAATCTTTCTTTAAATGTTTTAAAAATTTTATTGATTTATTTTGAAAGAGACAGAGAGAGTGAGGGGGGAGGGGCAGAGACAGAGAGGGAGAGAGAGAATCCCAAGGAGACTCCATGCCCAGCAGAGAGCCCGAGGTGGGGCTCGAACCCATGAACCACTAGATCGTGACCTGAGCGGAAATCAAGGGTCAGACACTCAACTGACTGAGCCACTCAGGCGCCCCAAAACAAAACTCTTCGAAGCCCTCCTTGACTCGTGGCTACCTCAGTCTCTCCTCCCCAGTTCACTCTGTTAAAGGTCGTGCTTAGTTTTCACTCCACGGAGGTTCTGCAAACGTTCATATGCTCCAGCATCACCAGGAGCAACCAATTCCCGAGTCCCACTCCCTTTTTTAGTCTGGGAGCGGGGCCTGGAATCTGCCTTTAAACAAACTTCCCCACATAGTTCATGGGGGTGGGCTGCGGACCGTACTTGGACAGACACTCCCTTGCAGCCTCTTTCGTTTTGTCCCTTTGTTTCCTCTCCACGACCCCTGTCCCTGCCCCGGCTGGCCCTCATCACCTCACACCTGGATTACGGCAACAGCTGGCCTGCCTTTGGCTAGCCTTTCTCTGCTCGAGCCTCCCCAGCTGCCAGCACCCATCTTCTGCAAATATCTTTGGCATCACATCACTTCCCTGCTGAGAAGCCTACCATGGCTCCCTCAGCCCAATTAGGTCCTATCTCAATTCATTTGCCCGGGAGCCAGCCAAGTTGCCCTCCCATCCTCCCTCTTTCCTCGTTCCCTGTTCGCTCCCGTCCCTGCAGGCTTTTTAATCTTATGTGAGCCCCTCTGCTAGTTTGGGGTGGTCTCCTTTCTACCCGCCCCTGAAACACTTGTGCTTACACAGGAGGAATTATAAAAGCTGTTGAGATTCGGGGCACCTGGGTGACTAAGTTGGTTAAATGACCGGCTCTTAGTTTCGGCTCAGGTCATGATCTTGGGGTTTGTGAGTTCGAGCCCCACGTCGGGCTCTGTGCTGACAGTGAGGAGCTTATGGGATTCTCTCTCTCTCTCTGCCCCTCCCCTGCTTGTGCTCATTTCCTCTCTCTCTCTCTCTCAAAATAAATGTTAAAAAAAAAAAAAAAAAACTTTAAAAAGGGCGCCTGGGTGGCTCAGTCGGTTAAGCGTCCGACTTGGGCTCAGGTCATGATCTCACCGTTCATGAGTTCAAGCCCCGCGTCGGGCTCTGTGCTGATAAGTTGGAGCCTGGAGCCTGCCTCGGATTCTGTATCTCCCCCTCTCTCTGCCCTTCCCCTGCTCGTGCTCTCTCTGTCTCTCAAAAATGAATAAACATTTAAAAAACGGAAAGGACCTGTTGAGATCCTCTGTCCACATTCTCAATGTGTCTGTCTCCCCTCCCCACCAGCGCTGGCTCTGCCATTCACTAGCTACGTGACACGGGGCAAGCTGCTTCACCTTTCCATGCCTCAACTTAACATCATGTTCTCATCTGCAGAATGGGGGATCTTAACAGTCCATCGTCATAGGTTTGTGGAAAGGATCAAAAGAGGCAATGGATGTAAAAGGGCTTAGAACAGTGTCAGCCACAAAGAAAATGCCATGTAAGTGTTAGCTATTATTACTAATTATTCTTATGATGACCCTTCCAGCCAGCTTCTCCCTGGAAACCACTTTTGCTTGGAAGGGCTAACGGAGGGAGTTCACTATCAAACCCTGCCTGATCTAGCAGAGGTGGTTAAATATTAAGTATTTGGGTTCCAGTGAGCTTCTCTGCCTCAGACAACCTGAGGACTGGGCTGTCTACAAATCTTTAATTATGTTCATTAATTTCTAACCAACTAGGAGGAGAGGGGGTGAGATTTGAAAGCAAGATTGTTCCAGCATACGTTCGATGATGTTAGGACAACTTCAAAATACCCTAAAGGGACGGTGGGTTGGGTGCCGTCTTTCCGATTATCTTTCTAGAATCGTCCCTACACTCCAGGTCCCAACTGCCCAGCTTCCTGATCTGCTTGTTCCTCGGGTTCCTTCTGGGAGCCCAACCGGGAAAGCCTTTCTCGGTGGTAGTTCCCAGCCTGAGAGCTTTGCACCTTGTACCCCAGTAGGCCTTGTCTGTAAATAATCTACTGCCCACGTTTCAGTTCTACTTTTCAAATCCACCTCAATGTTTTTGTGGTAAATACAATGAAATCCTTTACGAGCGTTACTGAATTCACAGTCACTGTCATTAAGTGTTCTCTCTCACTCTCTCAATGAATACTAAAAGTTCAACTACTGTTGGGTTGAGGGAAGTCTGAGAATATTTATGACATTTTATTTATTTATTTTTAATTTGTTTTAAGTTCATTTTGAGCATCAGCAAGAGAGAGAGAGAGAGAAAGAGAGCGAGCGAGCACGAGAAAGTGGGGTGGGGGCAGAGAGAGGGAGAGAGTTGAGAATCCCAAGCAGGCTCCACACTGTCAACATAGAGCCCGACGTGGGGCCCAAACCCGTGAACCGTGAGATCATGACCTGAGCCGAAATCACGAGTTGGCCGCTCAACCGACTGAGCCACCCAGGCGCCCCTGACATTTTAAAAGAGCCCTTTGTTCTCACAAAAGCTGGGAACCACTGTCCCATGGGGTACGTGGGAGCTGTGGGGAGTAGCATCGAGCCCTCTGGCTCTCAGTTTTCCTGCCTGGCAAATGGAGTAAATCATAACTGCCCCTTTCTGTAAGATTAAAGAAACAGAATGTTCCGCAATCATGAGGAGGTGCGCAGAGCGGCGTGCTTGTGATTCTCATCGATGTTCTGGGGAGGGCTGCCGCGAGGATCCGATGAGATAAGAGATAGAAGGGTTCTGGGAGAGGAGGCAAGTCCGGGCAGGGGAGCACCAGCGCTGCTGTTTCTCTTGTTCTTTTCCTTGTTCTGGGTCCAGAACCCCAAAGCCCGTGAAGGGCTTTCCGGGAGCAGTGTGTTCTTTTGCCGCTCCCCACCCCGCTCCCCACCCCGCCTTGGTTTTCTGTGGAGCAACAACAAAGAGCTGCTCCTGTATGTGACTAACAAACAGCCGCAAAGTTCCTCTTATCTAGTCTAGCAACCACTGTGGCCTCAGAAGTTGTAGTGTTTGTCTCTGTTTGGTTGGAGTTGCCTAGGAAACCAAGTTGTTCTCTCTTTCCCACTCTGTGACCGTGGGCCAGTTTTTCTTCCCCCTTTTCTTGCAGGGAAGGGCTGGATGACTGAGGAGGGCCGTGTGTTTGCTGAGCCATTTTCTGGGTTTCTCTTTTGCAACTGTGGGTTCGTGTTTGGCTGGAGAGTGGGTGTGGGAAGTCTACAGATGAACGGAAGAGTCGACAAGTCCCTGAAGGCTTCTTGAAGGGGGGGGGCGGGGCTTGGGACCTAGTAGGAGCTGGGGAGAGCCGTGTTTGGGTCATGGTGGCTGCCCGGTCCAAAATGTGTTCTAGCAGCTGTGAAGTGTGCGTGCTGTGATCAAATCAGCAGGTGTACACAAGGAACTTGGCATCAGGAGCAGAGAGGTTAGAAGCAGGTGGGGAAACTGGGATTCGAGAGGCCAGCCAGGCAGGGGCTGTTAAGTTCTGAAGAAGAGTTCTGGCAATTGGAAAAGAAGAGACCATCACGTATGACCACTGCAGTGACGGAACCCTCGCATTTTGAATATATTTGGGCAGCGATTGGCACAAGGGACAAGGGCGAAGACCTCTTGGTCCTTGAGGTTTGCGGTTCAGGAAAATCAGGGGGTTGTGTTAAATTTCAAGTGGCAAAGGCACAGGTGTAGATGCTAGCTGAAGCTGAGAGTGAACGGGATCATTCCCCGGGGTACACGGTGGGGCTCAGTACACAGCTCAATGTCTCTGGTGGCTCCAGGGTCGGGTGTGGTGGAGGAGGCATGGAATAACTCATGGACAGAATCAGAGAAATGGCAAGACTCTGGATACCACAGCCCTGGGGCCAGGGAAAGGGTGATGTGTGAGAACGGACCCCACAGAGAGCCAGAGGAAGGCAGCAGAGTCAGGATCCTTCAACCTGGCCATGCGCGCACGGCTGGTCGGTTTCGGGGAGCCAATGTTCAGCGGTGACAGGTGCAAGGGCAGGGATCCCAAGCATCGTTCCTTAGAGGAGGGGATTCTGGTTTGGGCACTGCAAATGTTCTGTGCCCTTTTCTCACGAGGGTCCTCTTAAGCTCCTTTGCCAAGGTTAAGGGTCTCATGTGGGTGGATTGGTATCAAGGAGAATGCACGAGGTAACCTGATGATGTTTTCAGGAGAGGGAAGAGGCCCACTCGTGTTTATTTAGTTCCCTCCTGTGAATACCCTGCCCTTTTCTTTTGGGCCCTCTTGGGGTCCCCTTCCTCCCAAATCAGCCCCTTTAGTTGAGGTTGTGTGTTAGCGGTCACCTCGCAACTCGCTCTGGAGCTGTCTTATGAAAGCCAGGAGTGGGACAATAGGGATAGATGTGGGGTTGAGTCCCTCAGTTTGCCATAATAGCTGTATGGCTTTGGGCAAGTCCCTGACAATGTCACAGCCTCAGCCTCCTCACCCCGTACGATGGGGTGTTGACGGTTCTGCAAGGTCACTGGCCTGCCACTTAGGGGGTGCTTGTGAATGTTCAGCGAGTCAGAGAAACAGAGCCCCTAATCATGCCAGGGACACCCCTAGCATCTGCTCTATTTACACTCAGATGTCAGGTTTATTTTTAGAAAAAAAAAAGGAGCCAAGTTTATTGAAATTTCAAGCTACATTTGAAAAATCCAAATCCAAATCCTGGAGACATCTATCAGGATAAGGTGTCAGAAACTGGAACGTGTTATCTGCCACAGAACCCCCTAGACACAAGCTCCCTGAGCACATCACCCAGGCACCGTCGGATCAAAGCCATCCCCTCGTCCATCCCTTGTCCATGAGGGGACACCAGCAAGCCAATCATGCCGTTCACTCGCAAGTTTTCCACAAACATCAAAACAGAAGTTTCTCGATGACAATGTGAAGTCCCAGCTGCTCTTCTCTGAACCCCATTCTATGTAGTCAGCACCAGCGAATGGTGGGTTTGGCATTCGGATGAGGACCTCACGCGTCTTCGGCGGGGGTGGAGGGGCACATGGGGCAAGGGCTGCAGCAGCAAGGCATCCGTGGCCGCGTTCAGAGGCTGGCCCTCCTCCCTGCCTTTTCTCTTTAGTCGTACTTAACCTAAAGGACACACTGGATCGACTTGGTAAATGAACACAAAGAACTAGCCTTAAGAGATAAAGGGCCAGATGATACTCCCAAAGCCGGTTCCCAAAGCCGGTTAGGCCCTTCAACACACAGATGTGTGTGTGTGTGTGTGTGTGTGTGTGTGTGTGTGTATACATCACTACACTAAGATATAGATCTAGCCCTATGGGTATATATACGCATGTATGGCTATATAGAAAAACTATGCCAATACTAACCAAACAGAACTTTGTAAGCGGTCATCCCAAAGCTGTAATCCCACACTGGGCCGTGCGCAAAGCCATGCATTAGACCATATGAACCAACAGAAGGCCGACTTGGCTCAATCTCTCCTATCTGTTGTCCTGCCTTGGTGAGGCAGGGGAGACGAGAGAGGTTGCCTCTGCTCAAAACACGAGTGGCTTCTTCATAGGAGCAGTTGATGTCAGGTGAAGCTGCTGAAGATGGCCATGGAAATGAAAAACAGACCCCTTATGCTTTCTGGAGTAAACTGGCGTCACATCTTACACTACCTTTCTCCTTTGCCAGTTGTGGCTAAGTTGCCCAGGCCCCAGGAGCCCCTAGGGCACGATGGCATTAGAGGCTCATTGGCTGGGGGTGACGTGGCCCCACGCAACGCAGCCTCCAGAGACCTGCTCTTTGTCAGGGGTCTGTCACTGGAGTGGACCCAGGTGGCCATGTCCTTAGGACATCTCTTGGCACCAGCTATGCTAGGTGTAAAGTTCTCCACGTGAGATGACGCTTGGGGAACCAAAAACAAACCAGAAAGAACTAGGTAGAACAAGTTTAGTGGCTCTGCCCACCCTGAGGACAGAGCCACTTACACCGCAGAACCACCGGGGGCCTCAGGTGCTTGTGGGGTTTCCGGAACAGGCTCTTCGGGGCTCAGACGGGACTGGAACTTCTCCAGCTGCTCCGGGCTTGCCAGGGTCTTCAGGAGGGTGTTCTCACGCTCCAGCTGGGAGTTCTTCTCCACCAGCTCCCGGATCTGCTCCTTCAGGACCTCCACCTCCTCTCTGACTGCGTACATCAGATGATTCTTCACCAGGTCCTGCCACAGAGGGGAATCACAACAAAGCCATCCAGGGGCCGTCGTGGCCCCTCTGCAGCACCGTCACCGTGCCGTCGGGGCCCCCGCATCATCCGTCGTGCCACTGACCGTTCCCCCCACCCCGGCCTCCCCTCTCGGCATGCTGGCCTTGTAGCCCTATTCCTCCCTTTCTCCAAAGCCCTTACGCCCACTCAAGAGAGCTGCCTGACTGGAACATGCCTGAGCTTGGAGCCCAGCTCTGAACTACACAGGATGCCCTCCGCAAGTTTCCAGTAACTTCCAACGCTGGCCACTTAGGAGCCTTCTGGGCGCAACTTCTGCTGGTTGCTGGCAGTCAGCTCTACCCGTTTCCACAGAAGGTCCCGTTGCTGGCCCACCGCCTCCCAAGGAGGACCTGCTGGGCACCCCACAGAGTTTGCAGTACACATCTTCCCCAGGAGAACAGAATGGACTCTTCTGGAGTCTCCTCTCCAAATAACCCAGCACACCGGGGTCCAGACACCGGGGTCCAGACAGGACACTGGTGGCTCTGGGGGAAGGTGCGGGGACTGCCGCATCCTCTCTGAATCTGCTGACTGCACCGGGAGCAGGGAACTGTGTCGCTGGGCACCAGGGGCACAGTGAAGTGGTTGCTAACTGCTGGAGGCCCCAACCTCCTGCAGCCATATTGGCTGCTCGGTGGAGTATGACCTCTACCTGGTTCAGAGAGGGAGAAGGGGTGGGGTGCTCTGCTTCCTGTTTCCTCCCCACTCCTGACCCCAGCCCAGGCTCTGCGGAGGCTCTGCAGTGCAGTTGCATCCAATGAGCGCTCTGGCCCCTGCCAAATGCAGGGCTGCAGACAAATGCAAGAGTCTGAGCTCCCTGCCCTGCCCAGGAGGGAGCTGGAGGCTGCAAAGAGAGGGAGGAGGACGGGAGGGGGTCCAGCAACAGCAGACTGCAAATGCCCTAAAAGGTGCCGCTCTACTGGGACTCTACTTAGGGGCTCCAATGGCTTAGGAAGGAGGCCGTTGGCTTCCTCAGGCTCTTGCCTACAGGCTTTTGCACCCACCCCCTCAGTCCTGCCCTGAGTTACATAAGCAGCAGCTATGTCAGGGGACGGGAATGACGCAGTGATGCCACTCACCATGGCCTGCTCGATCTTGTTGTCTATGGCCACCACGCTGGCTCCAGAGGCACTGCCAAGACAAAAAGCAAAGCAACCGCGTTACCCACTTGGTTCCACTCGGAGTACCTGGCAGCTGCAGCCAAAGTCCTCCATCTGCCCCAGCTCTTCCTCTCTCCTGCCTCCCTGGCCCGGAGCCCCGGGCACTTTGTCCCCAGGCTCCTGCAGGAAGCTGCACCTCCCCACCCGGGCCGGCTCCCCGCCGCAGCCGCCCAGGGCTCCGCGTGGAGGAGCGCGCAGGTCCCGGGGCGCTCCGGCCGGCGTGGCCTGCTCGGCCGGCCCAGGCGACAGGCAAACAATGGGGGCGCGCGGCCCAGGGAGTCTCCCCCGCCGCCGGCCCGTTCCAGCGCCCGCCCAGAAGGTCCCGGGCGAACCTACCGCGCTCTGAAGCTAGCTACGAAGTCCTTCTCGGCTCGGAAGCTTCCGGCCTGCTCCCCAGCAGCGCACGGCGCGCGGCCAGCCCCCTGCCCGGCCCTGCCCAACCCCGCCGCCCCTCTGCCTCCGGCTGCCTCCGCCTCGGGCTGCAGCAGCTCGTTCTCACGGCGCAGCGGCCGCAGGGACGCTCCGTCGGCGGATCCCGGCGCGGCGGTGACCCCCCTCCCTGCGTCCCCTACCCCCGCCCCTTCCCAGGATGCTGCACCGCGGGGAACGGGGACCGGCGGCGCACGGCTCGCTCAGAGATCCCGCTCGCAGCCCAGCCCCCGCCGGTGTCTCGGCTCAGGACCTGAGGCCAGTGGTTACCTGTTATCCAGCTTAACGGAAACCACATCCCCTCCAAGCAGGGAAGAGAAGAAGGAGATGTTGAAATTGTGCAGCTGATAGACCGCCACCTCCATGGGGGTCTGATACATTTCGGCGTTCATGGCTCAGGCTGCCTGGGCGGGCTAGGCGGCTGGCGGCTGCTGGCGCGCTGCACGGGGCTGGGCTCTGCGAGTCCCGCCGAGGAGCTAGGAGCGGGGCGAAGGCTGCCGATCGGACCCAAAGCCAGGCAGGGGCTTCAGAGTTGAGGGGAAGTGCTCGAGGGGTGTCACCTAGTGTGTCACAAACTCCACAGCCGCCAGTCCAACCCAGACTCGGAGATATTTCGGCTCCTGCTTCTTTATATAGGAGGAGCCGGCTGCGTCACATGGCGTCAGGGGCCATGCAAATGAGTCCTGTACCGGGCTTTGTGGTCCAGTTAAACCACATCCCCTCCCTGAACCTTAAGCTAGGACTGTAAACAGTTCAGCACTTTCTTGTGCCAACTGGCATCTCCAGAGAGGGCTCTGGAGATTGGTAAAAACCAAACCGGAGCTGATTCTTGGAGAAAGAAGTCCAAACACCCTAACAAGAGCAGAAATCATTCAGTAAAGGGTGGCGCTGGTGTCCAAAGCTCTTCTTCAGGTGTCAGCCGGCACACCCGCATGGCTTTGCAGTGCCATCACACACCAGGCTCCCTGGGTGCCCACCCTCACCATCAGGAGCCTCGCCTTCTGGCCGCCACCTGCCTCCTCAGCTGCTCTCCTGCACATATACTTTGTCGCCTGCACGTCCCCTCACCCAGCCTGTTGGCCTGCACCCCGGCCCAATACACTCCCCTCCTCCTCCTGTGGATGTCCCCCTCTGGGAACTGACACATGCACAGATCTGTGACTCGCTTGGGATGTGCACTGGGCTGAACTAATCTGGGCACCCTAGTGTGCATGTAGGGAGAGGAGAGTGTCCAAGAACTCCGGTGAGTGGGGGAACATGAACCAGGGGGAGTTTGGGGGCCAGGTGGGTGACAGAGGAGATCGGGGAGGAGAAGGTAGGGGAATGAGTGCTGGAGTGACCACAAGACGGACCCTCTTCCTTTGATCTCCATGCCCTACTCTGTAGAGAAAATATCTTCCACATTATCCGGGATTTCACGTCTCTATTTTTAAAAAAACAAGATTTCATTACTTTCCTATAAAACAGCAAACTGCAAACCAAGGCTATATTATAAATCATCCCAGGAAAACACCTGCTCTCTGATTCGCCCTGCCACAGGTAAAAGAGGCTACACTTCAGGAATAAACAGATTACATGTTAAAAGGAAAAGGAGGCGGTTGTTGCCTACCAAGAGTTACATATGTTTCCATCAAAATATATTTTCCTTCTTTTCAGCCTCAAGCCGAAAAATAAAAGTCTGCAACGGCTAGAGATCCTGTTCTCCTGCTCTTTCCTAAGTGAGGCCACCTGGTGGAAAGAGGCGGAATTGCAGCCAGAAGAAGCTAGCTAGACAGAACAAGGGACAGGTGATGACGCAATGGCAAGGATTATTGACACCGACTCAAGGCCGTGAGGAGAACATCGGGTTCCACCACATACACAATAGTTTGGATGAAGTTGGGGCCAGTAGCCATGAATCAGTTTGTGATTCAGGCAGTGGGCCAAAGAAATACCCTAATGCAATCATGCTCCTGGAAAAGTACTGGGGCCTCTTATCAGCGAAGAAGGTAATTACTATTTTGCCTCAGGCTATTTCTCCTAACCAGGTGCCTGGCACTGACAGCCTGGCCAAGGCCCCAGTTCAGCCCAGTCTTAAGGCCTTGATTTTCTCCAGGCCGCTGGTGCCGTTGTGCCACCAAACAGCCAACATTTTTGCCACTGTGACATGGGGCTCCTACTGGACCCCACAGGTGGTAACACATGCACAAAGGGCCATTCTACTTGCAAAGGGCTGACGATAGAACTATCTAAGAGAACCTACTGTGCATGGGCCCAAGAGAGTGTATTTCTTCACCCTTGTTTAGGTGGGAGATAATCCCAGTCTCTGGATATTATGTTACCTTTTAGGTCATAAATTCTCCCGACTTCAGTATTTGCACTAAACTGTGTAGTTGGCAGAACAAAGCACAGACTATATTTATAGGTCATCAAGAACACTAGCTGAGGAAAAAAAAATACTTTCTTAAATCAGAAGCTTAATTGATACTGGAATTACCTGATAGAGTAATCTGCCCTCTGTGCCACAGAGAGCTTTCTTGGCCCCAGGAAAGAGTCACAGAGCTTTCACTGGCTTGTAAATCTTTCCTCAACTATTGCTACTCACCCCCAAGATTCCAAGGGAGATGATGAAAAGAAAGAGGGAGAGAGAAATAAGCTGGGTTGGCAGAGGAAAAACACCACCAGGGAGACAAGGCATAGGACAGAAGAAAAAATAGCTCCTTCCATGGGGACTCCCTTATATGGAGCCAGAGGCAGAGAAACCAAGGTAGTTCGGGAAGGGAAAGGAAGATAAGTTGCTAGCGATGTTGCGTTTCAATTGTATGGTAGTTATGCTTCAATGAAAAATAAGCTGAGTTTGGGGCACCTGGGTGGCTCCGTCTGTTGAGTGTCTGACTTCGGCTCAGGTCATGATCTCACAGTTTGTGAGTTCAAGCCCCGCGTCGGGCTCGCGGCTGTCAGCATGCAGCAGGCTTCTGATCCTCTGTCCCCTCCTCTCTCTGCCCCTTCCCCGCTCATGCTCTCAGTCTCTAAACAATGAATAAACATTAAAAAGAAAAGAAGACTCTCTTTAAGAAAATAAACTGAGTTTGAGACCCACTGACGGTAATGTCTACCATTAAGTGAGCATCATTTGTGGGCCAGACATTTGTACCAGCTGCTCCACAAAGCCTGTGGTGTAGGCTCTGTTACCATCATTTCACAGATGAAGAAACCAAAGGTCTGAGAGGCTACCTTGCCCACGGTAGTACAGCTAATACATTACAGAGCTGGGACTCAATCCAGGTCTTCCAGGCCCAGAGACCAAGTTTGTTCCTACAGCACTTCGGAGTGGGGTAGGGGGTAGGTGTGTTGAATAAGTGAATCAATGCAGTTGGGGGGCTGGGTTGGAGGTGCCCGGAAAGCAGTAAGGAAGAAGAAAGGATGAGGAGCAGGACATGTGCCCCTAGGATGCCAGCTGCAGTACCGTTAGAGAATGGTCCAGAGGCTGACTTTGAGCTCCGTCAGCACAGCCCGCTTTGCTGATGCTCGTGGCAAGGGACAGCAGCATCGGGGACCAGAAGAATATCCAAAGTGTCCGAGTAAACTTTATAGGAGGGCTGGACTCACCCACATCATTTCATTTTTTAATGCTTTTTTTTTTTAATTTCTGAGAGAGAGAGAGAGAGAGAGAGAGAGCACCAGCATGAGCAGGGGAGGGTCAGAGAGAGAGGGACATACAGAATCTGAAACAGGCTCCAGGCTCTGAGCTGGCTGTCAGCACAGAGCCCGACGCGGGACCCGAACCCACGAACCGTGAAATCATGACCTGAGCCGAAGTCGGCCGCTTAACCGACTGAGCCACCCAGGCGCCCCTCACCCACAACATTTCAAAAGGCAGCCACACAGTCCACAAAGAAAGCTCGCTCTGTCTAGGAAATATTAATCCAGCCTGGTGGCTCCCGCAGTGGAAATACGTAGTCCTGGGGTATCCGATCCCCAAATAAAGTAAGTAGTCTGAGAAGAAATAATCACGGTCCAGGCAAACCTCCACTTTCCGTGGCCCCGCTAACTGGCATCCTTAATTAACTTTTTGTTGTTGTTTCGTACTCCTGCTGTGCTCAGCATTTAGGAGAATGAAGTGAGCCACAAGAAAACAAGCTCCCATCGGGGATTTAGTTTTACAAAACAACTTTGAAAAGAATCTCTCATCGCCTCGATACCTCTGGTTTTGCCCGCTGCCAGCCAAGTGACAAGTGATCACCTTGAGGCCTTAGGATCCACCATTAGCAAACAGTGTAACAATGGCTGGATCCCAGGATCCCAGAGCTCGGGAAGGCAAGACAATGGACATAAATGTCCCTGTAGAGAGATTTGTCAAACAAGGGTAGGTAGGAGGGGGAGAAGGGAAGAAGCAGGAGGACTCCAGAAGGTTTTCTGCTTAACCCCTGGCACACTAGAAAATTCCTCTACCCAGAATATCTGCATCAAACCTCACAGTGAGAGGAGGCTTGTGCTGTACGAGGTATCTATGATCTGATCTAACTTTTCTGAGAAAGTGCTGATCCACGGGGCTCTCTGAGT